ATTTGAAAACTTCCCTTACGTGTTCTTCTCTAAGGAGAATGCAGCAATTGAGATTCCTGTATCCAATTCTTTTGATTTTTTTGCCCATGATTCTGGTGGAACTCTCAGTTTCTCTTCTGGCCTTGCTATTCTAATTCTACCATACTATTGTCAGCAACACTGTGAAGCCCTGCTCAGCTAGGAGACCTTCCTTGCTATCTGGATCTCCAGTTGCATAGGAGGAGGTTGTAGTGTCTGCTGTGGGGTATAGGTCCTGTTTTTAATCTCACAGTCACACCTATGTACTTCCCCAGAAACATTTGGGCCTGTAACATGGGACAGGGAGTTAAACAATTCCCAGCTGTAGCCGGCCAGAACTATATTACAATGTGGCATATTTACTCTGGTGTCTGGATGAAGATTACAAGTGAAATTATATTACTTTATCTGAGGTAAAATAATTTTCATATTTTCCAGAATGTGTTAAGCAAACGAAGGAATTCCTCAGTGAGAACAGGAATGTTTTGGAGTAGTTCCTGAGGTAGATGTAGAAATACTAAATAACTTGTTTAATGTTGGAATAAGAGTCTACAGTAGCTACACTGATTAAAATTGCAAAGCAGCACAATGAGAACTTTGCATCCTCTGCTACCCCAAATGTCACAGAAAATGTGTTGCTCAATATAAGTCTTACTAAGGACCAATAGCTCCAGGAGGACTGAGCACTATTTCTCTTTGAGGGAAATAATAGACTGAGATCTCAGGCTCACAAATACATACAATTTATGTATACAACTCATTCTTAAATTTCTGCATCATACAATAAAAGAGTTTCCAGGTCTTAAATGTAGAAGCTCCAGGCACATCAGAACACATTTGATTAAAAGAATTCAGGCCAAAGAATCAAGACTTGCTGAATCATACAAGTAAACTTTCCAAGCCTGATTTCATCTACATGTCCTGAAACTAGTTATCATCAATGTGGATAAAACCCCACCTGATACAACCTGCTAAGAAATAAATGCAGCCATTGAACCACATTCATGGGTTTTTCTCAGTAAAGATCAATAGAGCTAAAAGTAACATAAAGAAAGCCCACTATATTAAGAACACAGCAATAATGAAACACAGCAGTAATGAAACACTAAACATGAGCTTTCCTTGAGAGATGACACGGGCATTGCATAGGGGCACATACAGAGAGAGAGGTTCTGCCTGGGTAATGAGCTGCCAAAGTTTGTACCAGCTGAAGATCTACTCCAAATGTTTAAAGGAAGAGGTTTCATCACTAAACCAAATTATTGGGATTGTGTACTTTGCTGCTTTTTTTAGTAGGTTCCAATTTCTCCTGCCAAGCTAGGAAGTTATGCTGTGAGCAGCTGGTACTCCAGGACTAACAACTCCACCACTAATTTATCCTCTAATACTCAAGCTTCCGACGTCTCTGTTTGTAACACACAACCACAGTGGGTAAAGTATCACAAGTTCCTCCTCCATGCCTACGGAGACTTACCCAGCTTCACAAAATGACTTTTGTTACAAAGGGATTTACATTGGTGTCCTTGGAAGCAACAGATGGTCAGGATGAGCTGCTGCCATCAGCATTTTCCTTTAGTCTGTTAAATTATTCACATAGTGCCCCCAACAGTGGAGGCGTTCTCTCAGTTTAAAAGTGAAAACAGACCAGTTCAAAGATGGGACAAAACAACAAGCGAAGCAGCAGTGTCTTTAAAAGACACTGGAATGGGCTGGATTTTGTGATTACATAAAAGCAAGAAACACTGTCTCAATCTGATGTATGAATTAAGAGCTTTACCTTATCAACAGGAAATATGAACACATTTCCTACAATTATTTCCTCTTGCAAATCACTCCCTGTAGGTCTCAAAGGAAACAACAGATGCACCCAAAACAAGTTTTCATTTCTTTGCTGGCTGTTCAAAGAAAATGCAAAACTCTGTTTTGTTTTCATTTCTTAGCACCTCACTGTTTAGACAAAATCTCTTCCTCAGCAAATTTGAGGTACTTTACTGGCTGGTGTTATCATCTTTACCTACAAAGTGAGGCAATTAGAAGAAAAGCAAGGGCAGCTTCAAACTTGTACCCTGTTCTCATGAGCCACCATATTATGCCACATTCCTAAGCCACCCCCACACCACAAACCCAGCAAACCTATTAACCTGTAGCAGGGACTCAGTTATTTGAATGGTATCTTAGGCATAGAAAGGGGAAATCTTGTTAAAGATGTATGAGCATTTAACTGAGCAATCTTTGACACTTCCAAGTTTTCCAACTGATGCACTGCCAATGTGTTTCTTGTGTTCATCCAAGATTTATGATCTTGGTCCTGTGACAGGCACTCTGCTCCCTCTAACAATTTGAGCAGGTTGAAGAGTTGACTGTTGGTGTGAACTGTTGGCTCATCTGTTACCTTATGTTGTTTTTAATTGCAAGTATTCCTGCCTACAATGACATGCTTGTGTCAACACAAAACAGGCTTGGTGCAAGACTCACAATGGAATTTGAAACACTCTGTAGTGCGGAAACACTGGAATCTGTGAGCTTGGTTTCAAATCCTCCCAGGCAGATGCTTTCTGAGAAACCTGCATCTGGTTTTCTAATCCCCCTGAAGTTTGAGAGCGTTCAGATCAAGCTTTATGTCAAGCCCCTGCCCTAACAAGCAGGGCTAAGTTGAACAAAGTTGTATTTGCCAACATATCCCTGGAGAGAATAAAGCACCTCTGCTGCAAAGTCCTGGTTCTCCAAAGCTGGAGGGGGTGGTGTCAGTTTTAACCTTAAATGGTATCTGAAAACAAATCTTGAAAGTTTACAGTCATTTAAAATACAAACAGCTTAGCAAGGCAGCCATTCAGTACAATTTCTCCTCAAATAATAAGACCTTTGAGAAAGACAAGACTGATTGCAATTAAAGATAGAGGGTAAAAAAACACTGTGATTTATAAAGTGCATGGAAAATGGCTTGAAGATTCAGGAATGATAGAATTTTGGAACTGTACAGGAAGAAAAAATATCCTAATCAGTGTTATAAAGACTTTTTGGTTATCCTTATAAAACAATTCTACAAAGGATGGGTTTGCTTCCACAGAATTCTATTAGTTTCATCTTTATTGAATACAGTGGGATATCTCCCACAAGCATAGTAAAAAAAAATATATTAAGCCTGAAGTCAAGTGATGTTCTTCACTCAGCCATGGGAGAAATTTTTCAGTCCAGTAAGTATAACTTCGGAGTGAAATAAAAAAAAATGAGAAACTAATCAGGGCCATGAATCAGCCTCACTGGGGAACAACAGGGCAATGCAGAACTCTGCTCTAAATTGCTATCAGCGCTAGAAATCCAGCCCGGGGAGCTCGCTCTGCTGAGCGCACGCCGAGCAGCGCAGACAATTTTCTGCTGCCCTCTGCAGGGAAGCCTTGGGCCTTGTCATCCACAGCCAGGCCTGCACAGGATAAACAGGCTCACAAAAAAACCAGGGAGTTTTCAGAGGAATTTTTACAATTTACTGGTGTATTGTTAACTTCAACAGTAATCTGCACTCAGTTTATCATGAATACTGCACTTATAATTGCAAACCAACCTTTTCACTTGAGATGATGAGCCAGTTATTGGCATAACTGAGGAAGTTTTGATGGAAATATTAATCCCTAGATGACTCCATCATATGGGAATAAAAGACCAGGCCCTCTTCCTTGCAACCTCAACACTATGCTTCCACTCTGCTTTGACTGCTAGGTACCAGAACATAACCAGGAATTGAAAGGTACCCAAAGAAAAGCTCTCGTCTCACAAGCTCTTGTTCTCCTGTACTCTCTAGGAAAATATTAAGGAAATATGACTGTGCCATTCACTTCTTCCTTCTAAACTAGTGCATGAATTATTTTGGTCTCATACACTGAATGATTAAAAAAAAATAAAAAGAGATGGGAAACCAAAAAAACCCCCATTGTACAGTGCTTCAGTTCAGTCTGTCTAAACACAAAGCCATGAAAATGTTTTTGAGATAAAAGTGTTTAATGAAACATGAGCACGTTGAAAGTTTTGTTACTCAGCTGACCAGCTACTCAATCCACTTATACACTTCATTTGAGAACACTTCTTTTAACTCCAGAGCAAAGGTGAGAAGGATATGGTTCTAGTTCCACCTCTTCCCTTAGGGACTCTGTGGAGGTATTTTGTGCTCCCATCTCCTCATCGGCCACAACACAAACAGCAGAACAGCATCAGGAACCTTAATTCACTACTGTCTGCAGGACACTGAGATGATATGCTGAAATATGTATATATAAGCAGAGATATTTTCTTTGTCATTGCACATCTGATGTTGCATGAGAATGTAATAAAGACAGCTGTGGGACTCTAGGGTAATGTGTCCATACACAAGAAGGTCTGGAGAAATTTTTGTTGAGAGGCAGCCTTAAGCACTCAGCATTCCTACCAGATGGAGTACACCCCCCTATACAGCAACACATGTATCTGCAAAACGTGTATCATGCATTTGTAATTCCTTTATGCTGAAATACATAAAATAAACACAAAACAACTTGTTCTGTACTCGCCACAGCTGATTTTGTTAAACACCAGTATAAGAATCACAAATGGACTTTAGAACAATATGGAAACAGACCAGCTTGAAGGAGGGAGAGTTTTTAAAGCTATCCAAACCAATCTGACAGCATCAAATGTAAAGGAAAGAAAACTAAAAGTTGCACAAAAACATAGGGATCAGCATGTCAAAACTGACAGAAGCCTGGCAAACAAGATGAAGTTTAGAAATTAAATACTTCTCCTCAAGCAATTAATTAGCAACATAGATCTATATAATACAAACAAAACCTCCAGAAATGCACTGACTCCTTACATCCAGCACCTGCACTCTTGTCTCCAGAGCAAGGGTGGGCAGTTTATGAACAGAAACAGTCTAAGCAAAACTCTGGAGATGGTGTCTCATTTCTGGCCTCAGGCCCAACTCTGCAAAAACACCAAGGGACTTGGCAGAGCTCAATCGCTGAAGAACATCATGCAGCACAGAAGTCAAACTTACTTCTGACCAGACTCAACCTCATTCATCAGCATCATCAAACTGGCCCTTCTCAACTGTTCTAACTCGTGGTGGAAAAACAAAGCAAGGTGTGTGGTGACAGCCTGGGTTGTAAAACCAATCCTCCTTCCATACATATGAGCCGAAAAGATTATTTTCCTCAAAGCTTCCACCGGAGAGATCATCAGCATCTAAAGATAAAATAAAAGGTTTAAACCATGGGAGATACTCAGGAAAGTAGTGGAACAGTGTAGCAAGTTATTATGGAGGTCTATGGCATCTTCCAGTTCACTCTTTCAATCTGATCTGCACTTTAATTAGACCTTAAAAAAGGCAAACAGAAAAATTAATTTGGCAATGTCTTCATTTTAAGGCAGGCTCACGCCACACAGACAGAACAGTTTTCCAGAAAGCTCACTGATGTACCTGGGACTTAGAATGTCTGGCACCAGCTCTTACAAGATGTGCCGTTCTTTCACATCTTCCCTGGGAATAAAAGGCTCATGAAACTAACAATTTTATTTGCCTTTCCCCTTGCTGCTGTTGTCATAACACCATCCCAACGAAGAGTCCTCCAAACCCTCTAAGAACTGGGTCACTGGACAGAACAGGAGGGTGGGGTCCTGGAAAAGCTGTCTTGGAAAAACATTTCCACCAGGCTAGAATTAAGCCTAATGGGCCTGTATTTAACCAATCTAGCACAAAAATAGGGCAAAGTGTTTTAACAGAAGCATAAATATTTCTAGCAGACACTGAGCAAAGAAAAAGCCCAGAGCATGGAGAAGCAGAGGACCCAACACAATACCCCACGTCAGCCTTCCAGCAGCACTGCCAAACAAGCCATCACAGCAAGAGCTTAAGACACTTAAAAAGCCAGGAATGACCAATCAGCAGTTTTGTATTTGCAGCAGTTAACTCAGACACTTGTACTCAGTATGCTTCAGAAGGATCTGAATCCAATAATCACAGCTGCCTTAGTTTGTGAGGATTTCAAGAGCTACAGGTGGGACGAGCAAGTTAAATGAAGGGGGCAAGAGGAACAGTTCCAGTACAAAATTCAAAACATTGCATAAATTTGAGCATATAAAAGATTAAAATGAAAGCTCAGAATGGAAGAGAGGGAAAACCTCCAAAAAGAGAACAGCCTTTTTCTCAGATTACCCACTGTGAAAAACCAATACTGTTTTTCCATTTTAAAGTCAGAAAGTTTTTTCAGCCTTTCTGTAAAACCATTCTCACTTTCTTCCATTACCAAACAATGGAATTTAAATACAAAAGTTTATTTTAATTATGAGAATAAAATGAACTTATTTCCTAAGCAAAGCAAATTATATTAATTACAAAAACATACACATTAATGAGAAGAAAATGGAAATGGTACTATTCTTCATCAACAAAGACACAGCATGTTATCAGTCACTGCTGGCTAAACTCCATCCACCTGTGCTAAGAACCAGCCTGGCCAGTGCAAGGTTGGACTCTTTAACACGTGAGTCACCATAAAAACAAGTTACAAACTGAAGGAATAATTCAACTCTGAAGGTGTGAGTGACTCCTCCTATTTGTTGCTACTTTTGTCCCGGGACTGATCATGTGTACAACCACTCAGGAGGATCAAGCTTCAACAAAACCAAAGTCAAATAAACAAAAAAAAAACCAAAAAAGAAACCACTCAAAAAAACCTACAGTAAATGCAACAAACCATACTCAGAGACTGAGCTCTGTTCCAAACAACTCCATGCTCTATCGAGACATTGTAATGAACAGTCTTGAATTTTCCTGAAGAATTTTTACACAAAAAAAGTTAATTCCTGCACACCATGTACCTTTCTGTTCTCCTTCAGAATAACAAAGATACACCACTGAAAACTTGCTTCACCAGAGAAACTCAACACAAACATGGAATTCACCTCCTTACCATACCACTCCCTAAGAATTCAATTGCTCAAGCAAGAGTTTCATGTGAACTTCACACCACCACCTTTAAATCCTGTATTTGACAACAAAATTGTGCATTACACATCCAGGAGGTGAACACAACAAGAAACTTCCCAAAACAGAACACGGAGTTACTTAAAACACATTCTTCTGCAAAGCACCTACCTCCAACTATCCAAAACTCAAATGAAGCACAAGTAAATGTGTACTCACCATAAGGACTACATGTAGACTCCTCCAATTCTTTATCCCAGTCCTCCACCTCATGCTCAGATGCATCTTGCTGCCCTGAAGACTCAGGTCCATTGGAAACTTCACTATCCCACACATCCAGGTCAGCATATATATTGTACCAGCCCTCATCAGTAGAGCCATTGACATCACCTTCATTGGGGGAGGTAGAAGCAGATTCACTTTCTTCAGACTTGCCATCAGAAACATTTGGAATATTCTGCAGCAAACATTCTAAAACCAGGAGAAAACACCAACAGGTACACTCAGAAATTAAACAAGAACAATTAAGTGTTCAGCACAATAATTCAGAAAGGTACAAAAATGCACTTTGTGACTATTAATCTTATTGTAATACATGCAGTTTGCTATATATGTAATATCACTACAGGGCTGCTTCACATTTCAGACGCTTGGGAAGAGTGGACATAGCCTTGCACCACAACACCAGCACAAATCAGATTTCCTTGTTGGAAAATAACTCTGTAAACTAGGGCAAAGGACACAGCAGTCTTGTTTCACCACATTCACCTGTGGGTATTAAAAAAAGTTCTGGATTAAAAAAGAAAAAGTCATATTAATTACTCATGTACCTAGGCATACACAAATATATACATGGAAATAATTTAGCACAGTAAGTAAAGAGGCATTTCCCATGCAACACCAAAAGGTTTTGAGTAGATTTCTCAAGTAGTGCACAAGTTTCAATATTTGCGACCTACTTTGTTTTGTCCTACCTTTTCTGGGCTTCCAGATCGTAGCGTCTGTCTTATCAGGAAGCTGTTTCCCCTCAGAGTTTGCAACCTCAAAGGCAGCAGCCATCACCTATGAGAAATTTTTAAAGAGTTCTGATTGCTCATGAAACTGCTACCCCAGGTGTTGCCGACCTTGATCCCTTGATGAATCAGAGGTTTAACAACAAACAGGCTTTCACTTCAGAAGGCAAATCTGCAGAGTTATAGCTAATTCTGCTGCTGCCATCGGTTACCCTTAGCATTAGCACCAACACAGAACAACCCGTCTCCTCACTCACAACCCCGACAGAAATCGTGCCCCTTTGGGAATGGCGGCACAGTGTGAAAGCACCAGAGGGAATTAAGACACAAGGAATGGAAAAAGTACTAACTCTGAACCTACCGCTCTGTGGGAGCCCACGCGCCGAGCGGGACCCTCCGGCAGCCCTGAGGGGCTGGCCCAAGATGGGTGGAGAGCGGGAAGAAACCCTCAGCTGCTCTGAGGGGCGCGCAGCGAAAGCGACGGCGAGTTCTCCTCACACTTCCAGTGGAACAAGGAGGAGCCGGCGGTGGGTGCGGGAAGCTGGAGCCTGCAAGGGCCGAAGCCGGTGGGCAAGGGCAGGGCGCGGACTCCAGGTGAGCCCTTACGGCGTCCCCGCCACCTCCGCTGCCCGCCCCGCAATCCCCGGGACCCCCGAACCTTCGGATCCGAGCCCGGCCTGAGGGCACCATCGACCGCCCGGGCCCCTCGCCGCCCCTGGGCAGCGTCAGCCGGGCGGGCCCGCGGCTGTGCCCGAGGGACAGGGTGCGGCAGCGGGGTGAGGCTGGCGGGACGGTGCGACCGCTCCCGCTCCGGCCTCGGTGCCTGCAACGCCGCCACCGCCCAGAGCGCCCCGGCTGCGGAGCCCACCGCGCAGAGCTTCGCAATCACAGACAGAGTTCGGCTGGAAAGACCTCCGAGACATCGAGTGCAACCGTGACCCAACACCACCACGTAATCCAGACAAACACAGGCATGAGAGCTCTGAGAAAGTACCTCGTCACTGATGAAGTTGTAAATAAAGTATCAATACCTCTCATGGCTGGGTGGAGTTTTCCCCTTGCCGAAAGGTAATTTCCTTCCGGCCTCGTGGTGGCAGCATGCTCGGAACACGGAGAGACGGGAAGCACCTCGGCTGAACAGCTGTGCAGGTGTCGAGCACGTGTGCTCGCAGGCAAAGCGCTGCGAGGAACCAGAGCGGCTGCTGGAAAAGGGCCCACCTTCTGAAATGATGGAGTTACCGGCTTTGGTGGACTTTAACAACTCCAAACTTTGCAGTTGAAAACTTTTAGTGGAGCAACTGATGAAGCAAGAAGTGGTTCAGGAGAGGGAGTAACAGCATAAGGGGCAGGGAGGGTATAAGTGATTGTCAGTAAGGAAATCTCAATGTAGACAATGAGATGGCAGAGAACTAGTGGGGATATAGGAGACGGCCTGGCTAAAAGCTTGGGAAACACAAAAGCAGGATGTACTTCAGATCTGATTCCTCCACAGGAGGAATCTTATCAGACTGCTGCTCCAAACTTTATTCCCAGCTAGTTAAGTTACTGGAATTCATTGCTTGAGAGGAGCTGCAATTTCTACATGAGTGCGAAATCAAGAAATATTTCCCTGTATTGTCATTATGTCACCCTTCAGTCACCGGGAAATTGCACAAAGGAACACTTGCTTCCTGTTCTTTTACTTTCCCTACATTTCTCTGTTGGTCCAAAGATAGCATTTATGTTGATTTCTCAGGTTTGTGGCTCTGTAAACAACCAAGGACAGCACTCTTTCAAAAAACATTACACATTTTTTAGGCATGGTGAAAGTTGAAGTGTAGATCAGAGCTTTCCACTCTCACCTCAAGGACATTGCCAACAGATCTCTACAACTCCCCCCTACCCTTCATCACTCTCACAATGCAAAATAGCTGCAGAGGCTGTTTCTCTTTCTGTCATGAAGATTACATATTTCAAGGCTAGGACGCAATAAATACTGCAATTTTACTGATTTCTCATTACCTAATGAAAAGCGTTTCACTTTTCATGATTCAACTTCATAAGATAAAAAGATGACCCACAGGTGTAGTTTCCACTGGGTTTGGTTTGGATTTTTTGTATTTAGGTGCTGTAAGTGTAAAAACTGATGCACTAGAACTATCTGAATGTTTAAGCAGATCAAGAGTTTGCTCTCAGAAGTCTTGATGAAAACACCCTCAGAGGTTTGCTTCCTCTGACTGTGCACTTGAACCTGCCCCTGGCAGAATCAACACTAGAAATTATTGCAACAGAGAAGATGATTCTTTTTTGTCACATAAAATGTAAAGGTAAACTTTAATAAAGTCCAGGTACATATTTACCTTTGTACAAAGAAGTTAAAAAATGCACAGTCGTGTTATAACTATGTATAGTTTTTCATAAATGTCCAGTTTGCAATAAAGTGTGTTTAGAAACAAAATCTTCCACCAGGTCTCCCTGCAACATCTTCATTGCTCGCCAGTGAATGCTCCCACAGTTTTCTGGTTTGCCTTGGGGATGACTCAGCTCCTCCTTGATATAATCCAGCCAGAGGTCTTTAAAAGAAAAATGAAAGTTCTGGTTAGATTTTTACTAGGTATTACTTAACAAACATGAAAAGCCTGACTAGATACTCTTTTTCTAAGTATCTTTGATAATGCAGTAGGGTTCACTTTGTGAAACAAAAACCTTGAGGAGCAAAAACCCTGGGTTCTATTCCCAGCTGGAACAGTAATGTCTGCAGAAATAATGCAACAATAACTGAGCTGTGTACTTTCTTCAAATGAATATTGCAGAAATCTTGATTATAAATATGTAGCTCCATACTGTTCATAAATCCAAATTAAAAGTGATACACATCTCTTATGCCAGCCAGTGTCTGAACGTGATTTGCTCCTAATTGTGCTGAAGCCATCCCAGTGCCAATGAGCCTGGGCTGACAGTGGAGGGTCCCTGCAGTGTCCTACTCTTAATGGCACAGAAGAAATAAGCTCCACTCTGCATGACAGCAAGCACAAGGGCAGAACAAACAGGTACCTTTTAAAATAGATGGAAATAAAAGAGGCAGCAGTGATTGAAGGGATGAATAAATAAATTAAAAAAACCAGAATCCTCCTTACCAGTATTTGTTGAACCAAATTCCCTCAAGGCACGTTCATAGTATTCTCTCAGATTAAGCATTTTGCAGGATTCCTAAAAAAGGAGGGTATTAAAAGACCACTTATTTTGTGCAGAAGTGAATCTGCAGCATGATTAGATTCTGACAAAGAGAGAGAGTCATGGCAATTACACACTGCTGAAGATTAGTTACCATGGAACTTGGGTTTGTATCACATCCTGTGAATCAACTGCAGAGACAAACATGAACTGATCACAGACTAACACCACTACTCTGCTTCCCATTTAAATCCCAAGTTAGAACTGTATTTTACAAACACAAAGCATTAATTGGATAGTCAACAACTTACTTGCTCCTTTTCTATTTGGATCATCTTCCTGAAGAAGTCAAGTGAAAATGGACGATTTTCACACAGGCTGAAATAAGATAAGTGACTTTAGACTTAAGGACTCTTAACATATACCCTAGAATAATCCACTTTGAAGGTATTTTTTTTACCTGGTGAAGAGTCTTTTAACTTTCTTATAACCATTGTTTCTGTAAGTCCAGTCAAGATACATTTCTTTCATAGTCACAGATTCAGCAGGCGTTGTGGCATGTAAGGATCTCTGCAAGTTTAAAAGGAAAAAACCCATCAAAATAAACAAAAAATAAACCTATCACATAACCTACAACTAAATGGCTCAATTAGTGCTTCTCCCTAATTAGGCATCTGACACAAAGGAGATCTCCTAAGTCTAAAACACATTTCTCCTTCAGTATTCCATATAGCTGGAACTGGCATTTCCATAAATCCCTTCACGCAGAGGGTTTCACAATACTCTATGAACAGCTGAATTCAAGCTCCCACCTGAAATACATGTTTTATGTGGTAAATGGGAGGAAAAAACAACTCAACATGCCAGGCAAAGAGAAAATGTTCTGCGCTACACTACTGAGGAAATCCACAGTGAGAATAAAATCCTCATTCTGATCTTGACTTTTCTGTAAAAAGACTGATGTTTTCACACAAATTGGAAAATTCTCTTTTCCATGCTCAGATAAGTATCTGAAAACAGAGCAAATATTCTGGACCACAAAGTAGGAGTCCATCATTGGTTATGCTTACAAACATCCACATGCCTTAGAACATGGGATTGACATTTGTGCCTGTAAGTCTATGTCCATGTCCAACTGTTTTTTTAAAGGCACATAGTTTTGCTTGAAATTCTTTCATATCAACACATCCATGAAGGCAGTATAAGGCATTTGTTGCATGTTCCAGCCACACACATTGTTCCATTTTATTGACACAGACAAAAAAGTAGATTTTGATTAGTCAAGTACCTGGTAGAGAGCTTCTGTGTCCTCCTTGCTGTTTGTGCTCTCACTCCATTCCACCCAGAGGGTCCACAATGGCAAAGTGCCCTACAAGGTCAGCAAACACATCAAATGGCTGAAACTCAGTGACTCTGATTTACAGAAACAGACAGCAACACAGCCATCAGGTTTTGTATTACCTGCCATAAAAAATACTCTTTGGACACAGCTCTTGGAAAGACAACTTTGAACTGCACACTGAAATGACTTCTCATTTCCTTCCTCACTTACAGGATAAATCATCCTTAGCTGGACAGCTGTGTTACCAGGGATGAGAACCAAGTTCTGCACCACTGAGCACTGCAGTACACAGAGGTGACTCCAAGAACAAAAAGGAAAGAAACCAACTTGCTCCCTCACTCATTGTGCTCAGGGTTTGAAATGGAACAGAGCAGGAGAGGACACAGCTAATTCAAGGCTTGAAATACCACACAGGTGTATCAGACAGTGAAGAAAATGAAACACATTTTTCCACTAAGACACAAACACCAGCTCGCTGTTAGGAGAATATGTAAAATGTCAACTGTAAGCATTCAGATTTTAAACATGTGAATTTTAAGTGAACTGACAAT